TATAGTTCAATCCTACTAAGCCAACCTTCGGCTTCAGTAAGCCACCGGATTTCACCGGACCAAAAGCAATTTTTATATTCAAATTAACAAAAATAATTTAATAATACAAAATTCTATTAATCATTATTAAAATTAAATAGAATTACTACAATGTTTTAAGCATATTAAATCAAGTAAATATTTCATTTAGCTTGCTCGTTAAAATCCATGCAATTTCGTAAGCCAACAATCCATGCACGACAAATAGCCCGACCGATAGATCGAATTGATCGATTAGTCCTATTATTCTAGTTATGTGGTTTGGAGCAAGGGGAGATATTACTGAAAATAATTAAAAGTTGAAAAAATTGAGGTTCTTTGCATATCCCTGCTTCAACCCATAAGGTGTTGTATGCTGGAAAATAGGCCTCCCCTTGGGACAAACAACCAGTAGGTACACGCGTTTTTCAAAAAGTTTACTTTGATTAAATTAACTTTTAGTGTTACCTGAATAATTTTAAAGTAAATGGATGTGGAAAATAGTTTACGACAAAATATTAAGCGCATCTGTGCTACTTAGGTTGCGAACATGAACCCAGGCACTTGAAAAGGATCAACGTAATGAAACATGAAAAAATAAAAAAGCAAAAATGGCGGAATAAAATGAATAGACATTATGAAAGCGTGAAGATAAAACCAAATGTGGTGTGAGGTAAAAACGACTTTTAAAAAGTACGTCATACACAAGTGAGTAGAATAAATAACATTCGCATAGCTCATTTTGAGTGCCGATTCGAAAAAATCTCGTTGAGCTTTTCAAAGTTCCTCGTATTACAGAGCGGAAACAAATCCAGTCTTTTCATTTCTAGGAGAGTGAATCGAATGGAACACCAAAGGCCATTCAAAATTGCTGACGATGAGGACGACGACGATGGCGATTGGAAGATTCTATTTTCTTGATGAATCCTCAAAGCCTCTAAATAAAGCTGAATAGATTTCCTGTAAAATCATAAATATGGAACGAATTTTCCAACTAATAAACCCAAAGTATATGATAGACCCACATTCAACGTTTTTAAATAAAGAATTACTTCAACTTACTCGTAAAGGACCCTATTACGGTAACGAAAGGCAAAGCGTACTGAGGAATCGACTAGTTTGATAGATTCGAGAGCTGTCTTACGGGCCTCCATTATTTCTTGCCTCCTGTCACATCTGTTCAAAAGAGCTATTAATTTTTCCCACAATAAGCGATTCTGAAAAAAAGTAGAAAAAATATATTTATTTTAGGAAAATAAATCCAAAAAATATTGTAATAAAATGAATAATTAATTTATGTTTTAATTGCCTGTGGTCTGAACCGTAGTGATCTTTGGAAGCACTTGCTGCTATTTTTATAATTTCTGGCCATCAAGTACAAGATTCCAAGAGCTGTCTGGGTTTAAATACAAATGAAATATAATTTGATTATTAGCAATTCATCATTTACCGAAAGTATTCAGTTACTACTCGGCCATTCATTCATTCACATTCATTCATTTGTCTAATAATTTTTTCATTCATTTGCCCATTAATTCGTTCGTTCATTCAATCAATCAATCGATCAATCAACCAACCAATTATTCATTCACTCAATCAATCATTCATTCATTTATCATTCGTTTGACAAACCTGAAGGTCAGGATCCTCCTCTGCTTTTTGATTATCCATTCGAACTGCCTCTGTGAAAATCCTTATCATCAGCATGAGGAACTTTCTATAGAACGATTTCAAGATTAAAAATTGAAATGAAACAAATACTAAATTAACATATTTTCAATGAAGTTTGCAAAAAAATTAAAACATGAAAGTACGTAAATATTGTCGTTATGCACTATTGACTGACACTGAAGCAGCCAACCAACCACCTGCCAACATGAGGCGATACGACATTGTAATCACGGCTCTTCAGTATCGAATTAAATACCGTTTCGTCATCGGCAACATGATCAGAATTAAAAATATCATAGTTAGCGTCATTATTATTGCTACTGGGGGTACCCTCAGTTGCCTTAATGTTGCTGATGTTGAGATGGAGGAAAATGTTGTTGTTTTTGCCGCCAGCTTGGAATTTTAGCATGTCGTGGCAGACGTAGAGATCGGCGCTTTTGACCATGCTAGTGTCAAGTGTGACAACGTTGTCATAGGCAAATTTAATGTAAATGTTTATGTTGTTGGCGCAGTTCAGATATAAATTGATGCTGTCCTCGTTAACATCAATGTCGATCTCGCGCTCCTCTATGAAAATAATGTTGACGGTTTTGCTGTTGTTGACGTGGATGTCGATGATGTTGTTGTTGAAGACGTCAAGTGAGGCTTCGCTGTCGTTGATTAGGTTAAAGATGTTGCGGTCCTCTGGGTCGACATTAATGCTGATCTTGCTGTCCTTGTTAATGTCAATTTCGACGGTTTTCTTGATGTTAGGATTCGCGTAATTACATTCGTAACACAATGCCAGACCTTGTAAACGACCGCGGTTGTCAACTCTCTCCAACACTTTGCCATATATGAGTAAGGTGTTTATCAGTTCGACAACAGACATCTGGAAAACTTGAACACGTTTGTCGGCAGTATCACAATCTGGCCTGATGCAAGGGATAAAATTAGGTACTGGCGGTGGAGGTCTTACGAACTTGACACTTGCTTTCGTCGTTGAAGTTAAAAATGATGCAATTAATATCATTCCTATCGACGTTGCTGATGGTTCGGAAAGTGTTGCTGTTAGTTTTGTCAGATTTGTGGCTGCTTTTGCTGTCGGTGCTGCCAAATTTGCTGCTGCTGCTGTCGGTGCTGCCAAATTTGCTGCGATTGCTGTCAATGCTGCCAGATTTGCCGCTGCAGCTGCTACCGTTTCGGCCAGATTTGCTGTCAACGGCTTCGTTAAAATTTCTGACGTTGCGATCGGTGTTGCCAAATTTGATGCTGCGGTTGCTGTTAGGTTGGCCAAATTTGCTGCTGCGGTTGTTGTTGTCGTTGTCAGATTTACTTTTGCTACAGTTATTGCTTTCCTCGTTGTCAGATTTAGTGCGGCTGTTGCTTCCGTTGCAACTGAATTTGTTGTTGTTGGCGTTTGTGCAGTTAAAACTGTTGTTGTCATTAATGACGTCAAGTTTGTCGATGTTGCAATCATTGAGACCTCACCAAATACTCTGACTCGCCTACTTAAGAGGCGTGCATATTTATAATTGTACCTCAGCCAGTGCAGCAGCATCTTACACGCTTGTTGCTCGAGTTTCCTGTTCCTGAAGACGAGGGCGAGGACGATGTAACTGTCCAAGTGCTGCACGTTCATCTCCAAACATCTGGTCAGAGCTCTGACGGCCTGCCGCTCATTTTCATTGACAGCCTGACTGACGCCCAAGTAGTGCCAAGCCTGTCAGGTTGGCATAAATTATAATTTCGGTGGGTGATATAATTATAATATTATATTACTTAGTTATTCATACATTTAAATATAAAAATAGTATAGGGTATTGGTTTCTTTAGATGGGATGATGCGATGGAAAATGATGTAGAAATGATTAACGTATGCAAGCGTAAACATACTCACCATGTAATTACTGCTGTCTGCTTGAAGGACGAACTCAAAGTAGGCAGCAGCGTTTTTGACGTCAACATTTTGTAGCTTGTACACTCCATCTGACATAATTTGTGAAACGTCGGCTGAACTCCCAAATGCCAGCCTACTTTTTTGGCTAAATCTATAATCTCCATACGGGTTGGCACTTCTAAACAAGTCAGCATCTACGAGCCAAAACACCACACCTCTGTTCAGCGTAATAATTGTACTAAATTAGGCAACGTAATAAATATATTGAGTAATATTACTGAATGAAATTTTTGAAATAAAAAAATATTTTAACAATACCTGCCTGCATAACTGACTGGCACATTCGTACGTAGATCCTCGTTCGTCACGTTCCTATGAGTCTGTTGGTTTATTATTTTCATTGAAATATACTTTATTTGCATTAGGTTGGAGCAAAAATGATATCAGTTTCGTACCGTCCACTTTAAAATGCGATAACTTGGCATCTTTATCACAGATATTCAATCGAATTAAAAACTATGCTATCAACGCTCATCATCCGACAAGAAATAAATTCATTGATAGCAGGAGCAGAAGAGTTAGAAGTTCTAGAGGCGATGGACTGTAGGGCGTTTTCAGTTTTGAAGCACAGTTCATACTTAAAGTTATTGAGGAGTTGGAAAGATTAGAATTTGTTAGTGGGAGTATGGTGGGCTAAGCAGTATCTCCTAACTCAGCGTGTTCAGGCTTTCCAATGTCTGTTGTGGACGTGTGGTTTGGCGTCATCGTGGAGAAGGGTAGGACTCTTCCGTTTAACTGATGTCGGGCGCAGTGACTTAACTTTTGATGCATCTCATCAATTTGTTGGCAGTACTTAAGCAGGTTATAAAAATTTTAATGAATTAATCAGACTGCAGACCACCAAACAGTCACCATTAACTTCTTCTTGAATCATTTTGATTTTCGAATGTGTTTCGGGCTCCCATTTTGATCCATCCACTGAGCTCAACTGTTTTTATATAGGATCTATTTTTCATCACAGGTCAAAATCCGTTCAAGAAATGTATTGTTTTTATTATGCAAAATAAGTTTATCTGATATTTCAAAACCGCGAAATTTCTAATTCTCATTCAACTCCTGTGGCATCTATTTAACAAGTTATTTGACCTTACCAATTTGTTTTAAATGACAAACCACGGTTGTGTGAGTTATTCACCTTAAATTCTTTAGCAACTTCTCAAAAGTTTTGGCCGGGTTCGCTTCAATAATTGCTTCCAATTCACAGTCATCAAACTTGCACCTTTATCTTCGAGACTCACATTCACCAGTACAAAATTTTTGAACCATTTTTGTATAAAACATCTCCCCATCTTCACACGAGTTGTATCAGCCGCATAGTGCCAAATTTCAAACTCATATGAAGTAAAGTCATTCGAAAATCACACTTCGATAATATTTTAAAATATCGTTCAAGAACAAACACAGTAGAATGTTTAACTGAATATTTAATGTAAACTAGACAGAGGAACAAACAACTTTTACAATAATTGTCAATATATCTAATGGAATAAATTTGAAAATTTTGCGTCGAAAAATTAAGTAACACAGAACTGACATTATTTTAAAACCGGTTTAATAAATAAACAATCAGTAGCTAACAGACAAATAAAAATATTAACGAGATGATTGGGAAAAAAACAAATAAATGAATAAACTAATTAATTACTAGATTAATAAATAAGATGATGGATTGAATAGCCTAATGTAGAGTAAGTTCAGCAACGACCTTCTTTTCCGCAGCTGTTGACTCAGCTCCTACTTCCACTTTCTCATCCTCATCCTCCAGTTCTTGTTCCTTTGTTTGCCGGATCTTAAAGTTTTTAAGACACTCTGAAACACTGCTTTTATTTGCATCTGTTTGCTCAATTGCTATCTCCTCTTCTTCTTCTACACCTTCCTCATATTTTGGCTAGTTGGTTTTCGTGAAGATAGTTAAAAATAAATGTTGAAAATGAATGACAACCATTTGAAAATGAACAAATAGGCCAATTTCAACTGTAAATATTCAACAATGTTTTGAGTTTGATAATTTTTGTATTTCAGGTTTCAGTGGCGGCTTTAATTGCAATAAAAAAAGTGACACAGAGACCCTACTATTTAAATGTCTAACAGACAACTTATTCCCAGCTTAGTACATTTATGTATTTTTCAATACTCATTAAGTGGCATTTTATTTCCCATTTTATTTATTTATTTTATTTAATTATCAAATAAGGTCAGATAAATTACCAAGAAGACAGTTTCAGGATCGACACTGAGTTGGAAAATATCTTTACTGATGCACCTTAGATCCAATGGACCTTCCTCACTTTCTCTAAAAAAAAGGATAAGATAAGCACGAATAAATAAATAACATTAATGGTTCACCTACCTCTGAATCTCCAATAACGACATGGTTAAAGGCGCCTGGTCTTCCCGTTGCAATGACTGGGTTCGAATACAAAGAGATCCCCGCTTATCATATGCAACGTGTATGATGCGTGGTTTGCACGCGTATTCATATACGCTGTGTGTGTTTGTCGTTGAAACCTCTGAAGCAAACGCAAAAGAGAGAGAGTAACCTTTAACCTTTTAACCTTTAATCTTTAGAGATGTATGAGACTCTAAAAACAAATTAACCAAAACAAATCAAAATAATTACACAAGCAAAGTTAAAAAGCAACAACCAAAATTTTAAAACTAAAAAAATAAAATCCTCACAAGACAATTTCACTTCTTGGACTTGGATGTATTCTCTCGAGATGAGATAATTCAGTCCTATTGCTACGGGCACCACTGATTAACCCAGTGTCAACAAATTGTGGAAAACCGTTTTGAGGTGAAAATAATGGATGGAGTGGAGATTCAGAGGTAGGTGTATCGCATAACACTACTTGCTGGAGAATTTGTTCTGGAGGGAATTTAATGTGAAATAATTTTCACTGATTGAATAAATAATATAATAATATATAAATAATATGAAATAATATATGCGATCATAAATTTTAAATCATAAGTAGTTGCTGATGATGTAAATGTTGACTACAGACTTTCCTCGTTGACGTATTCCGACAAGTTGTTGACGTTCAAATCTCGATGAGTCTCAGCATCCAGCAGCTCTGCCTGCAAAATTTCCACGTTGAATATTCCGGCGCTAGAAACCTCGTGAATGCAAATCATTCAATAAATTCTTCAAAATTCAAACACCACAAGCCATAAATTTTTAAAACATAATGAAAAAAGAATACAATGCATATGCATATTTACATATATTAATATTTACATTCATCAAAGATCAAGAAGCAACAGCCTCAATATTTTCATATCTTATTTTTTATGATTAGCTCAAACAGCCAGAAAAATAAAAACAAAACAAAATATAGATACATAATACAATAATACAATACAATACAATACAATGCAAAACAATACAATACAATACAATGCAATAAAAATACTCTAAGGCAACCATCCCTTCCATCTTATTAGTACCTGGTCCAATTGTTCAGGGGATAACAAATGACTCTTTGAATCAGTATCATCTGTGTAATTGTTAGCTAGAGCTAGCAGCTCATTAATGTCTCTATAGATTGGAGGAGAAGTTGCTGCTACATCAGCAACACCAGCGACATTACTTTTTTTGGTACTGTTGTTGGTGATGTTGTCATTGGGTTTTTCATTGATGTCGTTGCTGATGCTGTTGTTAGTGCTGTCATTAATGTTGGTGCTGGTGTCGTCATTAATGTTAGTGTTGTTACTAATGAGGTTGCTGGTGTTGTTGCTGGTGTTGTCATTAATGTTGTTGCTAGTGTTGGTGATGTTGTTGCTGGTGATGTCATTGTTGGTGATGTCGTTGTTGGTAATGTTGTCGCTGGTATTTTTGCTGTTGTTCATGTTGCCGTTACTGGTACTGTCACTGGTGTTTGTGTTTTTGCTAGTGTTGTTGCTGATGGTGTTGCTAGTGTTGTCGCTGGTGTTGTCACCAATGTTTTTGCTGGCGTTGTTGCTGCTGTCTTTGCTGGTGTTGCCACTGATGATGTTGCTGCTGATATTGTTGCTGGTTTTGTTGTTAGTGTTGTCGCTGTTGTTGTCACTAATGTTGTTGCTGGCATTGTTGCTGTTGTCGTTGTTAGTGTTGTCACTGATGATGTTGTTGCTAGCATTGGTGTTGTTGCTGTCGTTACTGGTAACATGGCTGGTGTTGGTGTTGTCACTAATGTTGATGCCAGCAATGTTACTGGCAGCACTAGCACTGTTTGCATTTTTTCTGTTGCGTCTGCTGTGTCTTATACCAGCCTTACTAGACCTGCTATCCTGTTGTTTCTGTGGTTGTGGCATTATTATATCAAATTGTTATGATTATTATGCTGTGATTTTAGATCTATTTTATTTAATAATTTCAAAAAACTGAAAAAAAGCTTAATTATAATCATGTGTATGTAATATTTTTGCTTTGTTTTTTATTAAATTAAAATCACTATGCTTATTTATTTTATTAAACTTTGACCACAGTAAAATTCAAATTTTGAAAACAAATGAAAAAAAAGTTATGAAGAACTTTTTCAAAGTACAAAATGAAAAAAAATCATTTACAAATACAACAAAAATAACAATCCTACTTTTTTGAAATCTCTGTATCGGTTTTGTTTTGTATCGGTTTTGTATCAGTTTTGTATATTTGTATATTTTAGTAAATTTTTGTACCATTTGTGCACTACTGTAACTAAAACTGAACTCGATTACAAAAATTAAAATTTGTTCACTTTTGACATTCTTGGTGTAGCGTTTTATTATTTAAAAATAATTTGGTTACATACTTACATGCATTACACAAACACAATCCAAATGACTGTGAAAAAAAACAAAATTTATTATAGATCTGTCGGTCTGTTGGCATTGATAAGTATTTATTTGTTTATTTCATGCATTTATTTGTATTTGTATATCTACATTTGATAAGGGTTTATCATGGATATATCCATATATCTATGAGGTTCATTTGTATTCTACTAGACAAATAGTCGGAGCCAAGCCATTTGATGATTTGATAATACTATGACTGCCATTTTGAAGGTTATCTTTTTTTCGATTGCCGACCAGCTGAATTCGTTCAAAATAAATAGAAATATAGATAGTATAAATAAATGAAAGTATGACAAAAGTACAAGAGCCCATCAATGCAATCGAACATGAAATAAGATTCAGCTGAGTAATAAAGAAGAAATAAATGGAAGATGACGAAGATGATGAATGGATGGAAGATAGCGAAGATGGTGGATGGAAAGATGGATGGATGGACGGATAGATGGATGGATGGACGGATAGATGGATGGATGGATTAGGCGACGATGATGACTACGATAGAGCCAATGATAAAGATAATATAACCAGTGATGATAAGGATGACGATGCTGCTGATAAAGATGATAACAATGAAATTGATAAGAAAACAATTATGAAAATGACGCTGACAATAATGATGATACTTTGAAGGTCAGGAGAATGATGATGATGATGAAGAGGATGATTATGCGGGGGCGGAAGAAGATGATGGGGATGATGATGATTAGGAGGAGAATGATGGCTAGGATTAAAATGAAGATGAAGATGAAGATGACGAAAGACGATGATGAGGATAAAAATGATATGGATTTCGATGATGACGAAAGATGATGATGAGGATGGCGAAGATGATGATGAGGATGATGATGTGGATGACGATGATGAGAAGGAGGAGAGTCCATTGATTAACTGGACTGACTAGTAGGTTGCCTAACGTAGCGTGTACAACTAACAGCAATGTACAACTGATGAAGCGTGCACGAGGAATACTGTACTATTGCGTATGTGCGTGTATATTTGTGTATGTACGTGTGTGTATATATATATGCCTGTGTGTGTGCATGTGTATGTTTACGTAAAAATGTTTGCATGAGTGTATATAGGGATTATATACATAGGTGTAGGAGTGTTTAGTATATGTACGTGTGTGTTTGTGTATTTATACATGTGCATGTGTGTTGTGTTCGTTTGTATTGTATTTATTTTGTATTTTTCTTCTCCTTCTCCTCATCATCTTCATCCTCATCTTCTTCATTATAATTGTTTTATGTGTTTACGTGCTTCTGCGCGTCTGAGTGAATGTTCTCAATCAATTTCTTATTTTTCGTGCGCTGTTTGTTTATATGTGCTTCAGTAAATACATCAGTTCTTGAATATTGTTAAAACTTTCTCTCTCTCTCTCTCTCTCTCTTCTTCTTCTTCTTCTTTTTCTTTATTTCTCTTTCTTCCTCTTTCTCCCTCTCTCTCTTTCTCTTTCTTTTTCTCTTTCTGAGAGTGTATGTACATTGTACATTTCCCTCATCTATTTGGCTGTTTAGTATATGCTTAAGTGTTTTCAGCTGTCATTTTATACAATGTTGTTTTTGTTTATGACCATTTTTTAGGCTCGCTTGAACGCTTGACGTGTTTTTTATATTTTCCACATTGTTCTCTTTGTCCAGAGATTGAATTATAGATGTTTGTATTGGACATGTGTGTATTATATAAATGTTTATATGTGTGGTATATATATATATATATATATATATATATATATATATGAGAGAGAAAGAAAGAGAGAGAGAGAGAGATGTATCTCTATATCAGCTTGCAGTTATCTTGATATGTCTCTGTTTGTTGTTGGTGTGCATGCAAAAAATTGTTTCTTTGTTTGTCTGCTTGTTTGTTTGTTTGTTTGTGTGTGTGTGTGTGTGTGTGTGTGTGGTGTGTGTGTGTGAAGTTATATCTAGTATGTCTATGTGATATATTGTATGTGTGTGTATATATTTGTTTGTATGTAATTATGAGTATGGTGAGTAATATTGAATGAATATAATTATATTTTAATACGTAATGTAATTGTGTATGTCTATAAATGTATGTTTGTATGTGTATGCGTACAATATTATTTATTTGTACGTGCATATCATTGCACATGCATGTGTGCATGCTTATGTAATTTTTTGTTTGTATGTATTTGTTCGTTTGTCTGTTCGCCCGTTTGTCTGTTTGTTTGTTCGTTTGCCTGTTTGTTTGCATCTACGCAACGTTCACCCTGGAATGTTTATTTAAAAGAAATGTCCTGCTCGTTTTTCCGGCATTCGTGTTTATTCAAGACACGTGATGGATTGATGTGCACACATTTGTGTACTTGTACATTTGTGTGTAAGTGTGTGTGTGTGTGTCTTTATATATATGTGTGTATGGGTGAACGCGTGTGTATCTCTGTATATGTGTGTATGTATATTTTTTATACGTGTTGTGTATATGTGTATGCAATGCATCGATGGAGTACATCGTCGAATCGACGAATTGGGTCATAGGTGAGTTCTAGAATGAGCGAAAAGTCCTATCCTTGACGAACATTTCAGTGCACAAGTTCCACAAATCCAGACACCCGTACTATCGCCGCTTTGAGCCGTCTGTTTTCGTCGAGTCCTTTTTTCAGCGAAAGCAGTTGTGCGTGCCAGTTCAAAAGCTGAAACCGCCGACTGGGTAGACCTTCTCCATTCCGAGGGTCTAGACCACATTTTTTCATATTTTCTATAAGGCTGTCTTTGTATCTGCGTACAGGGCCACTTGTCAGTCTATTTCCCGATGCTAACTGACCAAAAAAGACCTGCTTGGTGATTCTTGTATCTGGCATACGCGTAACGTGCCCTATCCAGCAAAACTGAGCCGGAAGCAGCAGCGATTCCACACCCATTATACCGCACTTTGCCAGAACCACTGTGTTTGGGACCTTGTCTTCCCACCGGATACCTGCAATCATGCGCAGGCATTTCATACATACATACATACATACATACATACATACATACATACATACATACATACATACATACATACATACATACATACATACATACATACATACATACATACATACATACATACATACATACATACATACATACACATACATACATACATACATACATACATACATACATAAAAACATACATACATAAAAACATACATACATGCATGTATTCACGTTCAAATGTTTGCCTATATAAGCTGCAGTGTCAAAGCAGAGAACTCATAAAAAGAGATTGATGGTGAGGATTTAAACGTCTGCTTGAGCCACGCGGGTATTGTATTTATCATCGTCGTCATCATCTTCATCATCATTATTATCATCATCGTCATCATCATTATTATTATCATCATCATCATAACCTTATTTGTTTCCAACAACATTGCTTTATTCACCATCATAACCATTTCACCATGATCTTATCATCGTCATCAAATTCGACATTTATATGTTGAATTTTTCTTTTGATTTTAACGTTATCATTGTCAGTTTCATCAACATCTTATCATTGTCATCATCATCATCATTATCATTACCGGAAAGAATCATCATCATCACTATTCAAGCAAAATAAGCAGTTTATACGGAGACAATGTCAACAAACATATTGTTATCAATAGAAAGAGGACCGCCAACTTTAACAACATTTTTATCCTTGCTCTTGTTGACGTCACTATCAAAAACAGGGATGTGCAGTCCGGACTCAAAAAGATTGTACGACGATTTACTGAAAAAGAGTCGGTACAACAAATTGATCCGACCGGTGACGAATAATTCCGACACTCTGATGGTTAGAATTGGATTGAGGCTGTCACAGATCATCGATGTTGTTAGTACGTTTTGAACAATTTTTTTCAAATAGTCAACGCTGGTATCAACAACAAACACACGATGGCGCATACGATAGGTCTGGATCTGTTCGTACTCGAATCCAGTCACTGCAACAACAGTGCCAGGCGCCTTAACCATTACACCGTCGCAACACTATTTTGAAAGAAAATTTTCCAACATGGGTTAATAATGTTAATGAAATTTGTTGAAAACAGGATGAAAAGAACCAAATAATGACGTCAAATGTGTGGCTGGATCAGGTTTGGCTTGATTCTGTTTATTTTTTTCTTTCAATCATTTGTCAGCACGTTCTTTCATTCATGTTTTCACTTGCTTCTTTATTTATTTGCTCATTTAATAATGTGTTCGTTCGTTCTTTCTTTCTTTCTTTCTTTCTTTCTTTCTTTCTTTTTCTCTTTCGAATTTAAGGAACAAAAAAGGAATGAATGAAAATGTGAGTATGATCAAACAAACGAATGAACAAATAAAGAAAAGAACGAATGAATGAATGATGAAACGGACGAACAAAGGAACACATTAATGAACGAACGAACAAGCACTATACTTTAAAATTCGCTTAATGTGGCAAATTAGCTTCAATCAGCAACTGAAAATTCCCCACACTTCATTATTCATCACGTATGGGACGAAAAAAAAAACTTAACTCCCACGATCACCACCGAACAGCAATGGTTCGATTACCGACTGACCTGGCATCCGAGCGAGTACGGAGGTGTGGATCGGTTGTTCGTACCCTCAGATGAAATTTGGCTGCCAGATATTGTGCTCTACAACAGGTAGGTAGGTAGGAGGTAGGTAGGTAAACAGATAGGTAGGCAAGTAGGTATATATATATATATATATATATATATATATATATATATATATATATATATATATATATATATACATAACACATATATGTTTTGGGTTTATACTATCATAAATACAAATACATCAAGATGATAAAAGTCTCGTTAGAAAAATTGAGAAACTCGACGACAAGTTGAATAATGCCGAAAACGCAGTGATCTTTATAAATAATTATACACATATGTCTATATCAGTTAATTTCGGTAACAAATTTTCATTTAAGCATATTTCATTAAACGCGATGCTTATATTATTGTTATTTAATTTTTTATTAAGATTTTCTATTTTTCTTATTAGTTTTTTATAATTATAATTTAAATTAAAAATTAGAACACCAATATTCATTATATAATTATTTATTAAGCGACGTTTTTGTAATTTTATTACAAAATAATTGTTTATTATACTTAATTTAACTACTTACGTTATTTAACTTTAATCGTTACGTTACTTTCGCGCTCAACTCTTATTACGTCATCTGACAGTTTATTGTTATGTTTTATTTGAATTAATATTAAATTGCCTGAAGATGAATTATAAAATTCATAACGTCGCTTAATAAATAATTATATAATGAATATTGTTGTTCTAATTTTTAATTTAAATTATAATTATAAAAAACTAATAAGAAAAATAGAAAATCTTAATAAAAAATTAAATAACAATAATATAAGCATCGCGTTTAATGAAATATGTCTATATGTAATATATTGCTGTTAATGTTGTTGTTGTTGTTGTTATTATTATTTCAACATCATCATCGTGAAAACTACCCGCAACAACTTTAATAAATAAATGGATAAACAATGATATGAGATAAGAGCAACGTATGAGGGGATATTGGCCAAACGATGATATCGAATAACGATGACAAACAACAAACGATTATTTGCAACTAAAAAAGAAGCCATAAAACTCCAATACACACTCACACAAACACACACACAAACACATAAACACACAAACAAACACAAACAAACAGCGCTGACGGAAACTTCACGGTGAAACTGATGACGAAGGCGACGATAAACTGGAATGGGCTGGTGATGTGGAAGCCACCTGCCGTCTACAAAAGCCTCTGCCCCATCGACGTCGAGTTCTTCCCATTTGACGAGCAATCGTGCACTCTGAAGATCGGTTCTTGGACGTACGACGGTTATTCGGTTGATATCCGACACAAAGAATTACCGATGCAGCTCAGTCCTCTCGATATTGTTGAGCAGGTTACATGGTCCTATTCAATTGCAAGTTTGTCTAGTGTTTCGTGAAGTAAAAATCCAACTGAGCATTATATAATACTATAAATAAATAAATAATTTTATAAATAATTCCACGAAAAATCAAAAAGTTTTTGAAATATTGTTTCATTAACTTGAATGAAAAATGGAAACCACAACAAACAACAACAACACAACAACAACACAACAACCAAATACTCACAGGGCATCGATCTGAGTGACTACTGCAAAAGCACCGAGTGGGACTTATTAGCAGTTCCCGCAAAGAAATTTGTCAAATATTATCCGTGTTGCAAGGAACCTTATCCAGATATAAAGTTTAACATCACTATTCGCAGGAAGACATTGTTCTACACCGTCAACCTCATTCTTCCATGCGTTGCAATCTGCTCAGTCACCCTCCTCGTCTTCTACATTCCCGCCAGCTCCGGCGAGAAAATAACCATGGGAATAACTGTCTTGAACTCGCTCAACATTTTTTTACTATTAGTAGCCGAGATCAACCCGCCCACTTCTCTGGCCACACCTCTCATTGGCAAGTATTTGTTGTTCACCATGGTGCTGGTCACGTGCTCCATCATCGTCACGGTCTTCGTCCTCAACATCCACTTCCGCTCTCCTTCCACTCACATCATGTCGCCATGGATACGAGAACTCTTCCTGAATGTTCTGCCGAAGTTGTTGCTGATGAGGCAGATTCAACAGAAGACTCTGAAGGTCAACGTGCGAACTGAGGCTGGGAGGGAGTTGAGAGATTTCTTCAAACTGGACAGCAGCAGCACGCATGCGTCTCCCGCGATGTTCAGACAAATGGACAACGAGAGAATCACTAACATGGATGAGCTAGTCAACCGTCGTCAGTGTTTTTTTTACCAAATTTATTTGAAATTATATTCTATAAAGCGGTATGCGATTTCGAAAAATTATTAATCTAATCAAATTTTGTCGAAAAGCTAAAAAGTTGTAAATTTATTATGGTCTAAATTAAGTGAAACTATCTCAGCAACAGGCAGGTATTCCTCCATAATAACGCCGACCCGTCCCGGCCACTTCGCCACCCAATCATCCTACAGGTTCAACAACGACGAAGACAGGGACTTTCTTCGCAGGGACTTCCACTCGAGACCCTTCCCCCATCAATCCCTCATGAACGGCGCCATGTACGGGGTCAGCTTCATCTCTGACCACGTCAAACAGCAGGATGACTTCATGAGGGTGGCCCTCTCTCATTTCATTTTTAAATTTTATTACGTCATCGACATTTTCATAAAAAACGATCTTCTTTATATGTATTCTTCTGATTTCAAACATTCTACGCGATTAAGTAGGAAACTAGATCTAACTAACGCGGCGAAAAACCCCTAGAAACTCGAAATGCGAAATCAAATTAGTTTATTGAGATAGCTGACAAAAAAAATAATTATTTAGCAGCAATGCTTGAACCAGTCTTAAATAATCAAAATAAAATGAACAAATAATCCAACTAATCAAATAATCAAATATAACAATGTTCTCGAATTAACTTTAAATAATTTAACAAAAACTGACTTCCTGACTAGGTGAAGCATGACTGGCAGTACGTGGCGATGGTACTGGACCGGCTATTCCTCTGGGTGTTCACGTCGGCATGTCTCGTCGGTACTTTTGGAATTATCGTCCAAGCTCCGACTCTGTACGATTTCAGAAGTCCGCTATTTACGTCACGATGCACGTGATTTCACATTATGCAACTGAACTCTTTAAAAAAAAACTGACAATGTATTGTATTGTATATACGTTCTAGTTGTATATATAAAATTATTTGTTGTATCCGTCAAAATATTTCGTGTGTATATCAGATAATTTGCTGTATATCTAAGATTATTTGTCGTTTTTTGATAAGGTTAAAGGTCAATTACACTTTTCCAGAGTTCAAAGGAATTAATAACACACATGCTAAACGACGGATCATACAAAAACATATGCTATTTTATCATATTTTATGTATCATAGGTTTGTGTTATATATTTGTGTTTGTGTTCCATCCTAAGTAATCTAAGAATATGTTTGTGTCATATCATCCGTATCATATTATAAGTGTCAAATATGATCTCCTTTCAACACACCCACCCACCCACCCACACACACACACACACATACATATGATATATATGTATATCATATTATATCTATTATATAGGTTATATACATTATATATATCACATGTTTTGTTTTATCCTAAGTGGATGGTTGTATCATAAGTTTCAATGTATCATATGCATTATATGGATTATATGCATTTTAATTAACGCACATGATATGTATCCATTCATGTATCTATCTATTTATTCTATGAGTATATGATATCTATGATATTTAAAGTTGTTTTTGCAGTTGGGAGGAAACGACTTTCCATACATTCTACGTGTTTCTGGCTGCATATCGTTTTAATGTTGACGCCTGTCTCCAATGGCAACCACATTGAATTAAATTATGGGATTATTGTAGCATAATATAAGACTTATTTATTTCAAATTATAGAATTTCATTTAAGAATTTTAACATGAAATCGTTAAAGGTGGTGATATTTTATTTTTTACTTTATTTGAATATACTTTATTTATATAAAGATTTGCTTTATTTTTACAGGGTTTGAAGAGCTTTGATGATGATGGTGAGTTGTTTGTTGCATACATACGTTTTTGTACGTTCAGTGTACGCTTTTACTGTAAATTGTGTGTATGCGTATATATGCGTGTTTGTTTGTTTGTTTGTTTGTCTGTGTGTGTATGTCTGTTTATGTGTCTATTTGTTTGTTTGTGTGCACTTGTGCTTCTGTGTTTGTTTGTGCGTGTATGTCTGTGTTTTTTTGTGTATGTGTGTGTCTGTGTTTGTTTGTGTGTGTATGTCTGTATATTTCTGTGTTTGTTTGTGTGTAAGTGTGTGTGTGTTTGTTTGTTTGTGTGTGTGTGGAGGGGGGTTTGTGTAATATATATATATTATTACTCAATGAATAATATTTTTCCATTCAATGCATTGGCTATGGTTATATAAAAAATTATAAAAAGTGAGGTGGCACTACGTTGCAGGGGTTTGGTTTGATTGCATGATGGATCTTTTCCTAATTTAAATGCGCCATATATCAAGTGACGCTATGTTGTTTTTGTTGTTGTTGTTGTTGTGTGTGTGTGGTGTGTGTCGCTATATGTGTTTGGAAAGCTTCAATTAAGGGATTATCTATTGAGATAAATAAAATTTTAATTATTTTTTGAATGATTGTTAAGATGTTACCTTTTTCATGTATTAAATATTTCGCACATTCGTATTCTTTATTTTTCGTATTTTTACTCTTTTAAATTCTACACGTCTTTGATCATTCAATATTAGTATAATATACAAAACAATAAAAAACAATAAAATACAATATAATCATATACAAAACAGTACAATACAATCATATACAAACAATACAATACAATCATATACAAACAATACAATGCAATCGTTTACACAACCATGCAATACAATACAATCATATATTGATACAAAACAATACAATACCATCATATACATAACAATACAATACAATCCTACACAAAGCAATACAATACAACCATATACAAAGCAATACAATACAATCATACACAAAACAATGCAATACAATCATATACAAAACCATACAATACAAATAATTTCTTCACTCCAGATGAGATGGATGATTTCCTGGATAGCATTTTAAACGAACCAACAAGTAGGTGACGTATAAGAGCGTAAAAAAATTTACATTTTGTAAAAAAGATTTATCATTGCTCTCCTTCCTGATCCTAAAATTAACTTGATTTTCATTGGCTAGACTACTAAATTACCGCTTTTTAGTAATTTGTTACAAAATTACTCTAAGCGACTACTACTCCATACTCATTAATCCATAGGCAAACCCAAGATCAGTAATTTAAAAAATACTGCGACAGCTGAAAAGTAAGGTCTTTTTCTAATGATCCTTCGATAAGTTTTTGTGAGACATTTTACTAAATTTTAAAATTGAAAAAAAATATTTTTTAAATTAAAGGGAGAGCCCAGGTACGACAAAAATCGACTCCAAATCCGATTTCGACGATGTAAATATACACACTTAAATTGTAAATTTCATTACTATTGTGTTATCGGTTGAGTTATCTCGTGATATTAAGATTGATTTTGAAACTAAAACTTTATTTTACTTTATGTAGCATAAGCTTTACTAGAGTTTTAACGGTTGTAGTGCAAGTCGTTGCCTCAATATTATATGCAGTATGAGATAGTATTAGTAGTAATGGCAGTAGCGTCCGTGGCCGCAGTAGTACTATAGTACTAGTAGTTAGTTAGAAGCAGCAGCAGCAGTAGTATATTAGTATAAGTATTTGCTGTAGTATTCGTAGTAGTAGAAGTAGTAGTAGTTGTAGTAGTAGAAGTAGTAGTAGTAGTAATAGAAGTAGTAGGAGTAGTAGTAGTAGGGGTAGTAGTGGTAGAAGTAGTTGTAACTAGTTAAGTATTAACTATTTATCTATGTAAGTATTTATTGTAACTGTTTTAGTAAAGTAAAGTTAGTAATAGAAGTAAAATAAGAATGTAAAAATGCGTCAACATCGATTTGGAAGTGAGACGTTTTTTTTTCATACGAGGATTTTGATGAGGCATTCCCGAAGGAAAGAAAATTTTCCACCGTTGATTCGATGGCAGGAATTTTGAAATCAAATAAACCAGGTTGGAAAATATTTTTTTTTACAAATAAAGTATAATGATACTAATAAATTATATTACTATACTACTAGTGTTACTACTACTGCTTTTAATAGTATTAACCATATCCATGAAGAAACGTGTTATTGTGAATTGAACTTTGAAAACTGCCAACTTTTCTTTGCGATTCTTTCAGCCAAGAAGCAAGAAGAAGACAAAGAAGAAGAAGACGATTTCTTGAGTAGTTTAGGATTAGGGGATGCAACTAATAGCAGCAAGAGCAAGTCCCAGACGACGACAAACGCCAGCAAGGATGGCACTTCAAACTCGAAATCAGGCGGGAGGTCGTTGATGATGGGCGATAAATCCTCAAAAATTAATGCTCTTGATGATTTGCTCAATTTTGACGGTTTTGTATAAAATTTATTGTCATATTTTTTTAGTTCTGTAAAAAGAATTTTGTTGAAAAATAACTAAATAAATATAATAACGATTTAAAAGTTAGGGGAACGATTAAATCTAGAATGTCTTTAATTATTATTTTATTTGTAATTTTAATCATCATCTAAGTTGGTTCCCCGAATTTTTTTCTCCAAAAGATGCCAAAGACAAAAAACCAAAAACTTCCGAAAAGGATGATTTTCAATTTGGCGGCTACAGTCCGTCTGCATCCAGCAAGCCACCCTCTAAAAGACTTGTTAGGTTGGCGATGTTGGTTGATAAGTGGTTGATTGTTTGGTTGGTTGGTTGAGGGCTTGATTGGTTGAATGATTGGTTGATGTTATCAATGGCGATGTTTATGAAGATGTTATTAAAGGTCATGACGTTGTTTGATTATGGTTCCAATGATGTTGAATGCACTTGCATTTCAGAAATTGCGTTAAATGTACCTGTTTGGTTGTTGTAATGAATGATTAGTTGATTGGTTGACTGATTGATTGATTAAATGATTGATTGATTAATTAATTGATTGATTGAATAGTTGATTGATGCCACCAATGACGTTGTTGCTGATGATGACGTCATTAATGATTATGAGTCATTTAAAAATTAGCAATGAGTGAATTCCTCCTTTTTTAATTTTATTTTCAGTATTACACGTTATATAATGTATTTGGTCCCACGGTAAATTTATTTTATTAATAAATATTATAATTATTACAACGATAATTAATAATTTGAATAAAAATTATGTTAAACACTTTATTTACTGAAAATAGATTTGAATCTAACCAAGATGGCGACGCCGACGATGACGTAGGACCCAACAAGCTACTCAGCACTGCACCCGTTTCCTTGATAAGTGACGTAGTCAAAAAGAACGAACCTGATTGGCTGGGAGAGGTCGGTGGGACGAGTTCTAACGTAAATAGTAACAGGCCCAGATCGAGTGACGGCTCGATCGCTGGTAGTAGAGGTAAGTGTCGCTACTTTTTCGTCTTTTTATAGAGTTAACTGTCGCTACTAATGAAAAAAAACCTTTTTTTTCTCCAAAAATCAGTAAATTCTTTCGACGCCGACGATTGGCTGAACGAACCAGCTAAAAATAGAAAATCTGGAAATTCACCGAAAGTTCAAACCTCTGATAGGTCAATGAGCAAACAGAAATCAAAAGATTTCATTGTTGACGATGATGACGATGACGCCGAATTAGGTACATTTTTTATTATTCATTCATTATTCATTCATACATCCATCCATTCATTCATTCATTCATTCATTCATTCATTCATTCATTCATTATTCATTCATTCATACATCCATCCATTCATTCATTAATTCATATACATTCATCCATTCATTCATTCATAATAATATAAAAATTATCATCAACAGTAATTGTTAAACGACAGAAATAATAAAAATAAACATTGACGTCATAATTTAACAAAAAAAATACTGCAAACTTTTTCCTCTCCTCCTCAGACTTCTTGGTGAAGAGTACGAAAAAGACATTACAACGGAGATCGTCGTCATCCAGTAGAGATGTTGCCGGAAGTTTGGACTTTTTGAATGA